TGGCCACGCTGCTCGGTTGGGACAAAATGTGTCTTTCTGCTCAGGCTCCGGGGCGTGGAATTTACTCGCAGGGTCCACGTCACCGTGACCAGGATTTTGAGAGGAAGAGCTACCGAATTCAACACGCAGTTTATCTTCTTCAGCCTCAGCAGCGGATTTCTAACATAGACACGTGCACTTATTCATGCAAATGTATTTCAAAGACACTGTTCTCTACAAAGACCTGGGTACGGAGTCTAGCTGTCATATCAGGGTGTCAGAGCCTCTCGCCAGGGGATGCGAGAGGAATCTGTTTTGCTTGATTTCCACCTGATGTGCTTATTCATGTTTGTTTGTTAATTCTCACCACAGGAGTGAGGATATTTTTTTCCATTGCTTTTTAGAGGGAGTGGAAGGGAGAAGGAGAGAGAGAGAGAGAGAAACATCGATGTGAGAGAGACACACAGATTGGTTGCCTTCTGCACGTGCCCTGACTGGAGGGGACAGTGGGGATCAAACCTGCAACCCAGGTTACATGCCCTTGACTGGAATCAGACCCAGAATCCTCCGGTGCACCGGCTGACGTTCTAACCACCGACCTACACTGGCCAGGGCATGTTTGTTTTTTGAAGAAATACATTTAATAATTTAGAAACAGTAAGGAAAAATATTTGTATATAAAAATTAAAAACATTTGCATGACAAAAAACATAAAAATTAAAGTGACAAATATTACTCTTGGAAAATATTTGGAATTTAAAACACAATATTGACCAGGAGTTGTTATCCCTAATATATAAATCTCCATAGAGTGTCCCAAAATCATAGGAGAAAGAAAAACCCTAGAGAAAGAAAAATGAGCCCAGAAGTGAAGAAGGAATTCACAGAAAAAGACAAAGAATGTTAACTATGAAAAGGTGCATAACCGCGCTGACATGGGAAAGGTACATTAAAACTACTTTAGCTTAAAGCTTATAATCAAGATGTAGTAACAAGGGCCAGATTTACCCTCTCACTTGGATAACTTAAAAAAACAGACAAAATGTACAAAACAATCGTTTTGAAGACATTGGACATCAGACAGTGAAGGACGTTGACCCTGAGAGATGGAAACAAAGGAGGTGAACCCCACAATCGCCACACTTTCTGCCTGGAGAGTCATCCAAGGCCCTGCTGCAGGGAAGGGAACCCAGGGGGAGCCCGGGGTCCCTGAGTTTAAGAGATGGAGGGGAGAGTCTAGAGGTGCAGGTGGCCAGAGGTTGTCAGGCAGAGTATCAAAGAGGACAGGACAACGGGGGGCAAGAACTGCAGAGACCTGCGGAGGGCACCCCCACTATTCAGGGGAGTGCGGTCAGCACACACGTGCGAGAAAACCAGCGCCGGAGGCCACGCGGGGCTGGGGTGCTGCTGCCCACCGGCCAGACCGGAACCCCTTGTAGGTCGGGGTCCTTCTGCAGAGCGCAGCAAACCCTCGATTTTGTGGACCTCGATTTAATGGACAAAACTCACGGCCCATATGTCATACGTGAAAAGGAACACCTCGTTAATTTAAAAATGCTTTTAACCAAGGCTTGCTTATAATTCAACTAATGGGTTATTTTTTTGTTTTGTTATTAGTTCACTGTTATTTTTATTTAATTTTTTTTAGAAGAATGTGCATTCTGTTGTGGTTGCATAAAATGCTTTTTTTTTTTTT